ATATTTTTTTTTTTGGCTGGAGCTTCAACACGCGGTTCGAGCTTAGAATAAATTATTAATAATCCACGATAATAACAGACAATTAATTTTTAACGCTGATTTGTGCGAGTTTTATGCCTCGCAAAATACGAAAGCTTAAAAAAAAAAATGAAAAAAAAAATCAAATAAAATAAATAAAATCAAAACGAAAATGAAGCAAACCTGAATATCAATTTAGCGCATTTAAAGAGCTTGCCGAGATGGGCCCAGCTCTCTGGGGTCTTGGTCAACGGCGCTGGCTCTTAATGTATGCGCAGGCAATGGTATTGCAGCGCCAACACGTCGTATGTCATTTAGCATCGCGTCCAGTTTCTCAATGAGAGTCAAACGAGAAGAGGAAGACGACGAGCAAGAAGAAGCAGAGGCAAATATGCAAAGAGCATTCTACATTTTACATTTTGCATTTTTTTCGGTGCTGGAGACTGAAGCCAAAGCTGAAGTTGAAGTTGAAGCTGATGCTGAAGCTGGAGTGCCAAGTGCAGCCTTATCGTACTTATTTATGCATATGCAGGCGACTTTGCTTCACACATGGCCAAAAAATAAAGTAAAAAAAAATCTTAAATGTAATAAAATAAAATCTGTGCGCCGAAAAAAGCCAAGATGCAGATGCATAAAACAAAAGACTTCGGACACGAACTTGTTTGCCCAGCATGTCTCTGCGTGTCGGTGTGTGTGTAGGGCATGGGTGCAGTCGGCTCGCTCGCAAAAGTAGCACACGCAAAATGCAAAACACACACACACACACAGAGAGAGAGAGAGAGAGAGAGGCCAAGGCAACGCTGGCGATGCATCACCCAGCGCCAAGGCAGGCAGGCACGCTTATCAGTAACCTACACTTAAAGTTAATGCATGCCCGGCAGGACCAACCAAGAGTTGCGCAGGCGCAGCCAGGCGATCGTCTTGGACGTGCGGGCTCCTCTTGCTTGCTGCTGCTGCTGTTGCTCTTGCTGTTGTTGTTGTTGTTGTTGTCGTTGTTGTTGTTGTTATCAATGCGGCCGAAGCCTTTTAGCAACGCCGACGCAGCAGCCGCAGCAAAAACAACAACAACAGCAACCACAAGCGTTGCCGCGTCTTCAGGTCTTTTGCCGTCAAAAGGCAGGCGAAATAAAATCGAAAATGAATGCGACTGCAGATAAGCAGCGAACGCATTTTGAAATGACACACGGATGGTTGACAAACGTGGAGGGAGGGAGACAGAGCGAAAGACAGAGAGAGAGAGAGAGAGGGAGAGAGAGGTAAGGGGAGAGAGTGAGAGGAACAAGAGAAAGAGAGAAGGGCAAGAGGGAGATATAAAGAAATGGGGAGTGTGAAAGGAAGAGAGATGATGAGAGGAAGCTCTACAGAGAAAAAGAGAGCAGGGCGACAAAGAGAGAGATAGAGAGAGATAGAGAGAGAGCCGGAAACAATACGTTAAAGAAAGAGGAAAAGAAATAAATATTTATAGAGTAAGAGAGATAGTTAGGATAAAGCGAGAAACCCTGAAAGACGGAGGGAGAAGGACAGCGTAAGAGTGAGAAGAACAATGGAGACAGAGATAGTGAAAGAGTGAGGGAACGATGGAGAGAAAAGAGAAAAAACGCTATGAAAGACAGAGAGGAAGAGATATAGTGATATCGATTCATTCCCATATTTATGAGGACAGCCAATCTATATCGAATATATGACATAAGCTAAGGAACTAGAAGAAAGAATTTATACTAATTCTATCAGAAAATAATTCATTGAAGTTTGCCATCAATTTCAGTTCATGCTCTAAATTCATATTCGACTTCAATAAAAATCAGATGAGCCATGACAACACTCAATCGATATTCAATGATAAAGTCCCATTCAAACAAGATTTGTTGGCTTAGAAATTGGATTTCGAAATTCTTGCCAAATTTCTCTTTAATATATAAGTTAACATTTGGAGATTGATCTGGGCAATGAATATGCTTTGAATATATGTTTATCTCTATCTTAAATATTAAGCGAATACGGGAAAAAGTTTAACGGTTACCAAGCCAGAGATACTCTCCTCTAAAATTTACTTCCGGTAACTGAACTGAAAGTTCTTTGGTTGTTATCGAACGTACTAGTTAAAAGTGTAGCATCAACGCGCATTGCTCGGGTCAGCGACAGCATCGGCTGCAGCAACAGATCGCAGACATTCCAGCCGCATGAGGAGTTGCTCCAAACTTGAATGCAAATCGATGGGGCAATAAAACTATTAAGCCATTAGTAAGCCAAACACGAGTACAATGCCAAAAGTAAAAAAAAGAGCGGAAAAAAAAACAAACACGTGCAATGCTGGCAGCAACAGCTACGGCCCAGCCAAGCAGCTACAACAGCAACAAGCAATTAATGCAAATGTGCAGCCGGCAGCCAAATGGAGGCAAAGAGGCAGGGCAGAAGCCAGGCCAAGCCAAGCCAAGCCAAGCCATAGCACATCGCAGATTGTGGCCAGACAGACGAAGACATTGCAATGCCAGGCAGTTCAAGCGTCTGCTAATGTTGCTCTGCCAGCCAGTTGCAGTCTGCTGCAACATTGTCTGCAGCAGCAACAGCAACAGCAGCAACTTCAAGCCTGACAATACATGTGCGAGGTGCAAACTAATTGAAATCATTACACAAGTAAAAATGTTAATTCAATTAAAATGCGCGCAACAGCAGCATCAGCATCAGCAGCAGCAGCAGCAACAGCCAGAGCCACAGCAGCAGCAACTTCTTGCTGACCCACAAGTGCCAGCAAACAACAACTGCAATATAGTCTAAGAAAGATATCATCGCAACATAGTGTAGCCGCCTCTTTCACAGCAACAGCAACAGCAACCGCAGCAGCAACATCAGCAACATGTTGTTAGGTCAGGCAACATGAGCAACTCTATGCCAAGGCAGCAACAAATGCAGTTTGTGCACATGCAAATGTTGATGCTGCATGCCTCAGTCTTAGCTGCATGTGTATTGGTCTTATTTTGGGGGCTGCTGCTGCTGCTGCTGTTGCTGTTGCTGTTGCTGCTGCCAAGGGCGCCAATATGTTTGAATAGTGCATTGCATTTCCGGTTCGACAAGTAGCACCATAATAAATGCATTCAAGCGACTTGGCCAAGTTGAGAAGTTGGTAAATGCTGCTGCTGTTTCTGTTGCTGTTGTTGCTGCTGCTGCTCCTGCTGCTGTTTGCTGCCAATAAAAGGCAATAAGTTAATTTCACAGCACCAACAACAACTCTCTACTAGCAACTGCAACTTGAACAGCGGCTTTCTAAGGCCAAACAGTTTTATGGCCCCACTCCCCTCCCCCCCCCCCCCCCCCCCCACTCTTTCTCAGTGTGTTGCCATAAATGAAATGCGAGTCCATAAGCAGGCAACGCACTATCGCTGTTGAGGTGTGAAAATGTTTGACCATATTAGGGCACACGTTAACACATTCAATGTTATTATTATTATTATTATTGTTACTATTATTATTATTAGTATAATAGTAAATGCAGCATTTGCATTTTTATGAGCGACATTAAAACATTGAAGCCCAAAATGTCAATCCATGAGCAACGGAAGCTGCGCGGATAAGCGAACAGCGGCCAAAGTGCCACAGGAAGCAGCCACACGCACACGCACACACATACACACACACATGCACATATACATATTATTATACATCTACATATATTTATATATATTCCATCAAGAATCACATCGTAAATGCAGCCATTAACGATAAACAAATTCTACGACGAGCTGATCAAGCAGCCCAGACAGCCCAGACAGTCCAGACAGCGTATATAAGCTGGGCATAGCCCAGCCCCATAAAATGACATATAAAAAAACACTTAAAATATTTTCAATGAGCGATTTTAATGGCTGCTCCAGTCGAACCTTTTTTGGTGGTCTTCAGCCGAGTCTATATACACACATATACATATGTATATATGTCTATATATCTATATATGTATGTATATATGTATATGTGTGTATGGCTAATGCAAATGACGCAAACTGCGCACAAACTGCTGGTGTCGATATAACAATAAAACGCCCCATGCAACGCCCTGAATGTTTTGGGGCTGCTGTAGATGCAACGTTTTGGTAGCCAGGCCGGATTAAATGAATGCCACAGCCAATGCAGCCAAAGCAGAGCCGCGAAACAAAACAAAACTGCCAAAAAGACAAGCAAAAATAAAAACAACAACAGCAACAACAACCGATGCCAAAGAGGAAACTGATCTGACAGAT